TATTAACTAAATTTTAAATCGCTAGTAGAAATATCAAGAAATAAATTTAAGCGATCAATCTCAGCAAGAAAGATTCACATTTAAGCGATCAGATCAGCAAGAAAGATTCACGGGAAAATTACAGCTTTGACAGTGGAAAGGGCAAATCAAGATACAAAAAAAAACATACAAAAAAATATCCAGCATTTTTCTAAAAGAGAATAAAAATTAAAAATCTCTTTTTGAAGTTAAAAAATTTTATATTAAATAAGATACCATTTGGAACGGTTTTCGAAAATACATCATTATTTGTAAATACAAATTATTATTAACCAAATTTTAAATCGCTAGTAGAAATATCAAGAAATAAATTTAAGCGATCAATCTCAGCCAAAAAGATTCACGGGAAAATTGCAGCTTTGACAGTGGAAAGGGCAAATCAAGATACAAAAAAATATCCAGCATTTTTCTAAAAGAGAATAAAAATTAAAAATCCCTTTTTGAAGTTAAAAAATTTTATATTAAATAAGATACCATTTGGAATGGTTTTCGAAAATACATCATTATTTGTAAATACAAATTATTATTAACTAAATTTTAAATCGCTAGTAGAAATATCAAGAAATAAATTTAAGCGACCAATCTAAAATTCTAAAACTGTTTTACTGAATAAAAATTTGTGCTAAATTGGTCGCTTAAATTTATTTCTTGATAAATTATTATGTTACAATATCTAGTTTTCGAGATATCATGGATTAAAGTTTTAGTTAAGCTTCTTTATTGCCATTTACAATTGACTTTAATGGATTTTAATTACGAAATAGTCGACTTTTATTATTTTATTGATGGAAAATGGTTCATGACAACACGATAAAAGTAAATAAATTTTTAATGGGGTAAAAATTAGCTTTAATCTGATATTTTTTTCATATTTTTTTAAATTTCTGCTCACAAAAAGAGGATTTTCTGGACATCGTTCTTTATCAATTATTTGTCGTTTAATGTTTTACAAATAACATTTTGATGGAAACAGAGAGCGGGATAAAAGTTGACGAGAAAAAAAAATGCAAAATTCACTCAGAGAGATTTTGCTCTTGCATTTTCATCACCATGATTGCTCCGGATTTTATTCATTTCTTTATTTTTCAATCGCATGAAAATCTCTCCCCGTTTAATCTTCTCTCTATTATCTCCGGTTGTCCGTTCTAATAATGAAAACGGTCAATGTCACAATGCGAATGCTGCTTGATGACACAAAAATTTAAGTATTAATCTGGGATAAAACACGCGCATTTTCTTTCCCGCGGAAAATGAAAAAGAGCGTCGCCATAATTTTTCAGATATGCTTCGAAATCGCGACGTCTTCTTGATTTTTTGCCAACAGACTGCAATCTTCCATTGGCGTCTGATCAATTTCTCGAGTTCGGAAGAAAAGCGTTCGTATTGAAATAAAAAGCCGCTCGCTAAAAAGAAATACACGCGCAAATAGATGACATCAATTTCGGCAGCGCGACACACTTTTTTTGAAGATTCAAATTTAATCTTTTTCCGACAATAACGCGTGACACACATATAACGACGATGTAGTTATTTGTTTTATTAATTTATCGTAAAGCACGCTCAAACGTGCGTGAAACGATGTTTATTATTCGCGGTCTGTGAACTGTCATGACATTTTACATTTACATTCATTTATGCAACAGCATAATGTACATTTTATATGAATATTTTACAGGGGGCAACGCAGTATAATATATTTAAAACATGCCAGGTTGCTAATTCAGTACAATGTCGCTTTTTCATACGTTAATTTCACACTTTGTGGTCACGCGCAAACGAAAAATCTGGTCAGAGACTTTCGCGAAAAAAAAATCTACATACTATATATATAAAAATTGCGTAGAGAAAAGAAACGTAGTCGCGCCAGATAAATAACCGTGGATTATATAACTACATATTTATCTCCGTTGGAATATTATACATTAAAGTTTTACGTAAGCCGCTTAAAAACCGGCACGCAAATTTGTAATAATCTCATTAATAGTTTCGCGTTGCCAGAGAGAACAAAGCACTCTCTTTCTCCCTCTCGAGGGAGTGCTATATATTATATATATAAAATATTTCTTATATATTCGAAATGGAAGAGAGCGCGGAAACTTGGCGTTACAATCGGAATGAGAAATCGCGAATTCTCTCTCGGCTGCTGCAAAATGAGGTAATCAAACTTTAGGTCGCATTTACTCTCCGCGCTCCACTTTATTTTCCATTTCCATGCATCCGTCTACTTCTTGCGTCATCCCGCAAGAAACGAAACTCTCTTTCTCTCCCTCGGACGTATTTTCAACTCTTGCCAAGCGGCAATATTTATCCAAGTTCCTCCATTCAGATATGTTCTTATTATTATACCTCCCCACTTTTAACGCGGTGCTGAGAGATTGAGTGCACTTTTACTTTGTTGCCACACCGCTGTTTTATCGCGGAACTCGCGAGAGAACGAACGCGAGTTCCGCGGAGCATCGACAGGTTCAGGTGGAACGATGATTTTTACGCGAACCGATCTCGCGGGAGAAGCTCGCGAGGCGGGCTCTTTTTTTCCTTTTTATATCCGGCATTATTTGCTGTTTGTATTTTGTTACGAGACGCATCGTGCTCGTACATAGTGCAGAGTGTATATTGATGTTTGCGCGCGTGCTTTCACATTACACGCCGTAACTTTGGCGCGTGTATATACATATAACCGGAGAACTCTCGGGCTCTTAAATACTTAATCACGGGTTCCTGCCGGATTCCTTCGCAGTATTTCTTTCATGTCGACATCTCGGATGATGAAAGGAGTAGAGCGTTTCAATAATTTACCTTGTTTCGCGCACTTCACGTTACCGTTGAAATTTTGAATAAAAGTGCATTATGATGCACTTATACAATTATTTTCCAAATATATGCATGTCAAACACAAATGTCAATTTTCAGAAATTATTATTTTAATGGTAAAATTTTTCTCAAGTTTATTTAGCGCACTCATTAATTTTTGACGACCGGAATTAATCTATCTCTTAATCAAATCTAATTATATTTATATTGTGGAAATAACAACTTTTATGTGATGATGTTTAAACAAATTATTTTAAGTATTTCGATAATTTTATATATGCAATTGTTCCCTTTTCTTATTTTGATAAATTAAAAAATTATATTTTTATTTATATTTTATTATAAGATAAAATATAAATTATTATAATATATGTATATAGTATACATTTTTATAATACAATTTTATAATAAAATCTAATAAAGAATTAAAAATAATTCTAATCTACAATTTTTTTACAAATTGCAAACAAATGGAAAGCATGTTATAACAATGTTATTTTAAGTATTTCGATAATTTTATATATGCAATTGTTCCCTTTTTTTATTTTGATAAATTAAAAAATTATATTTCTATTTATATTTTATTATAAGATAAAATATAAATTATTATAATATATGTATATAGTATACATTTTTATAATAAAATCTAATAAAGAATTAAAAATAATTCTAATCTACAATTTTTTTTACAAATTGCAAACAAATGGAAAGCATGTAAATTACAGCTTTTATATATGAGATATCATAAAACTCGAGATACCAAAATATTTTCAACAATTTGTCACCGACGCGCAGTATAATCCTTTTGATATATATTACAGGGATTTTTTGCCGTCACTTATTATTTGCATCTCTCACTTTAGGCTTTACGACGGTAAAAGGAGAAGCCGGGGAAAAAAGTTTCTCAAACGCGAAACCGTCGATGCAGAAAATTCAACTTTGAAGATCTCTCGGAAATTTATGCGTTCCACGATCCCGGTTGAGAGAGACGAAGTCTGTCTTTCTCTCTCCCTTTCCTCATAATATCGCCCAACATCGATGGCCCCGTAGATTTCCGTGGCATTTTAAACGAAAACGACGAAAAGCGACCCGCTGCCTCCTTCCAACCCACTCGTTCCCCTTCTTATTCCGGCGCGAGATATCCGCGAAGGAGAAGCTTTATAACGACTTTGCGAGATTCGCAGAGCTCGCACGCGAGCGGTAACGACTTCCTAAGTGCGAAAATTTTTAAAGCTACCGGGAGAAAATTTCTGAGCCCCCGTCCTTCCTCCGTTTTAGAGAGCCGTTAGCGAAACTTCGTTCATGCCGAGTTTTGTCTCCGCGGCGCCGATGATACGCACGATGAAAGATTGAGAGATTTATGGGGATGACGCGTGTTCATCGTTCTCTTGCATTGCATTTTAATGCAGCTTATATACCTGTACACGGAAAGGAGAGAGAAAATCCTCTTTCCGTCTCTCCGCGACTTTTCACCGAGCTGATTCTTCATTTGTGCTCGCGCGTATTCCAATGCATCTTCATATATATATATATATAAATTTTTTTATATATAAATTTTATATATATTTATATAAATATATATATAATATATATATTTTTATATAAATTTTATAGAAATTTTATATAAAATATATATATATATATATAATATATATTTTTTATATATAAATTTTATAGAAATTTATATAAATTCTCTATGTAATAATTTTATAGAATATATAGAAATTTATTTATTTATATATTTATACATGTAAATAAATTTGTATATATAAATTTCTGTAACTTTATATATAACTTTTATGTAGCGCTCAAATCCGATTTCGTACATTTTTCATGATCATCGAGAGATATCGGAATAAATTTGTACTTATTCCGCTTTTTTTTTGTTGCGTTGACAATAAAAATTTAATTATATTCAATATATTTAAATCAGAATTTTTATTTATATCTGTAAGCGGAATTGAGCACGCGAAGAAAGAAGGATCGAAACAATTTAATAGAATATTGCATACGTTTGCAATAAATTGTTTGTTGTGCTCCAAGTTGAATTTTCTGAATATCATCCGAGCGAGGGATAACTTCCATCTCTCATGCACGGAACAGAGAGTGTTCGCTCTCACAAACGAATCCGCAAACGGTTTTTGTTGCAGGTCGAGATGAAAGGGATCTCCGGACCAATTGAATTTAAAGAAGGACGCAGAATACAGTTTAAATTGGATCTGCTGAAACTGAAACAGCACTCGCTCGTCAAGGTACGTCGTGACTTACAGTGCAAAACAGGAAGCGCGCGTCGGAAGAGCGTGAAAAAAAAAGAAATATATATATATATATATAAAACATACAGAACATGCGTGCGTATGTGTAATATATTTATGTAATTATATGTGCGAAACTAGGTCGGCGAATGGCGTCCCGGAGCAGGCGTCAACGTTACAGATACCGCTGCTTTCTTCGAGTCTGGCATCAGGAACGTATCTCTGATCGTGATCACTATTCTGGTGAGTCGCGCAAATAACGATTTGTTATATGTTTAGCGAATAAAAGTGACCACACAAGGAGAGAGAAATATTTTTCACACGTTTTTATATCAATCTACGTGTATACGTAGTAAAGTGAAAATGCATAAAAACAAATAAATCAATAATAATTAGCAATTTTAATTTTTTTTGGGATTATAGTAAATTTTATTTAACAACAGTTATCTTATGTGTAAGAAAGTTACATCATGTATAATGATGATGAGTTATTTAGAAGATAAATAAAGTATAATTATATATATATATATATTTAACATATTTTCTTCTTATTTATTCTGCATATTTTAATAAAGTAAAATAATCAAAAAATATCAATGCAATTTACGAGATATTTTATAGTGGACATATGACAGAAGACATAAAACAATATTATTTCTAAATAAAAATTTCCTTTTCTTCGGAAATAATGAAACTGCTAATTATTATTGGTTCACAATGATCGCTACTGTATATAGAAAAGATGAGCGACAGAACCGAGATTTTGTCGCATATGCCGGGAGTGTTTCAACTATTCCAATACCGTCGTACCAACCCACCCATTTTGGAGGAAACGAGTCGAATGAGGAACGCGCGATAGCCGTTGAAAGTTCCTCGATATGGTCGGCGCCAACGTGTCTCGTCGTAAATTCGCGTTACGGTCTCAAAGCGTTTTCCGTTATTCTTGCATGAATCCCGTAGCGCACGGATGCAAGAGATGCCGTACGTGATGATGCATCACGAGAAAAAGCGGAGAACTCGCGGTTTTATGGTTTTTGCGTGGACCCCCCGGCGACAGTGGCGAGGGAGATGGGTTTCTATCGCTTGAAACTGATATCGGACAGGAAGTGCGGCGCGCAAAATCCGGAAACCGTGACGAGTGGAATGTCAAAGAGCTCACGCGACATGTAATTTTGCCTGTTTCATTTTTTAACGTCTCTCTTTTTCTGTTTTAAATCACACTGTCTTCCTTTCCCTACTCATATCGCTAGAAAATCACTGATTATTTCGACTAATCAAATAGATTATATTGGGCGATCAAGAAATTTTTATTTTATCTGAATTCATCAACATATTGTATATCTGGTGATTATACCATTTATTTTTAATTATACTTTCATTGTTTATGATAATTCAATGTGCAATACCTCAGTTTATCAATAGCGTATCGTGTCTGACTAATATAAAGTTTTACTACTGCAAAAATTTCTGATAAAATCTCGTTAATTTCTTGATACATATATAATTTTATTAATAATAATAATAAATATTTTTCTTGTAAACTTCTTCAAAATTAAAAAAATATAAAAATATAATTACATGATTAAATGTTCTATTTTGCTATATTTCATACATTGTTTTAATTATGGGCAAGAAATTTTTACTTTATCTGAATTCATCAACAAATTGTATCTGATGATTATGTCACTTGTTTACTTGTATTTTCATTATTCATGATAATTCAACGTGTAATGCTTGCAATTCATCAATAGTGTATCGCGGCTGACTAATATAAAGCTTCACTACTGCGAAAATTTTCTTATGCGATAAAATCACGTTAATGTCTTGATAAATAAAATTATAAACATATAATTTTTTCTATAGTAGTATAATAAATAAGATTTTTTCTTATAAACTTTTTCAGAACTAAAAAAATATAAAAATATAATGACGAGATTAAATGTTTTATTTTGCTATAGTTATAGATCGTTTCAATTATGGTCATTAAATTTTTATTTCGTTACCTGAATTTATCAACAAATTACATATCAGATGTCAGATTATATTACTTGTTCAATTTTGTTTTGATTATTTATGATTATCAATGGTTGTGGTTCATAGGGCTGACCAATATAAGGTTTCACTACTGCGAAAATTTCCTTATCGGTTAAAATACCGTTCATATTTTGATAGCCCAATATATATATATAATTATATTAATAATAGTAATCATAAACAATATTTTTTGCTTTTATTTTCTTTAGAAAGTAAAAAAATAATAATTACACAATTAGACTGATCAATATAAGGTTTCACTACTGCGAAAGTCCTTGTCGATTAAAATACTATTGACATCTTAATAATCCAATATATATATAATTATATTAATAATAGTAATAATAAACAAGATTTTTTTATTCCTTAGAGCGTAAAAATAATAATAATTACTCGATTAGGTATCTTTGCTAAAGCCAAATATGATCAAGAAATGTTTACTTCATTACCTGGATTTATCAATGTTTCATATATCAAATTCGACTATTTGTTCACTTATGTTTTGATTATTCATTAATTTAACGTATAATGCTTGTGGTTTATTGATAGCGTATCGTGGCTGACCAATATAAAGTTTTACTACGCTATCACATTAGTACGTTTAATTATATATATACAATATATAAAATTTTATTAATAATAATAAACATAATTTTTTTGTAAACTTCTTTAAAACATAAAAAAATATAAAAATATAATTACGTGATTAAATGTTCTATTTTGCTATAGTCATACATCGTTTCAATTATGATCATTAAATTTTTATTTCGTTATCTGAACTTATCAACAAATTACATATCAGATGTCAGATTATATTACTTGTTCAATTTTGTTTTGATTATTTATGATGATCAATGCTTGTGGTTCATTGATAGCGTATCGTGGCTGACCAATATAAAGTTTCACTACTGCAAAAATTTTCTTGTTATGTAAAATCTCATTAATGTAAGTTGATAGTTTAATATATATACATATATATACGTATATTAAGCTATTAAGACATATTAATGAGATGTTATCTAACAAGGAAATGTTTGCAGTAGTGAAACTTTATATTAGTCAGCCACCCTACGCTATCATATTAATACGTTTAATTATATATATACAATATATAAAATTTTATTAATAATAATAAACATAATTTTTTTGTAAACTTCTTCAGAACATAAAAAAATATAAAAACATAATTACGTGATTAAATGTTCTATTTTGGTATGGTCATATATTGTCTCAATTATGGTCATTAAATTTTTATTTCGTTACCTGGATTTATCAACAAATCGTATATCAGATGTCAGATTATATTATTTGCTCAATTTGCATTTGATTATTTATGATTATTCAATTTAATGCTTGTAGTTCATCGATAACATATTGTGGCTGACCAATATAAGATTTCACTACTGCTAAAATTTTTTTGTCAGATAAAATCTCATTAATATCTTGATAGCTCAGTATGTACATAATTATATTAATAATAGTAATAATAAACAAGACTTTTTTCTTGTAAATTTTTTCAGAACATGAAAAATATAATTACCCGATTAAATATCTTTGCTATAATAAAATATAGTCAATAAATTTTTACTTCATTACCTGGACTTATTAATAATTTATATATCAAATTAGACTATTTTTTCACTTATGTTTTGATTATTCAAGATAATTCAACCTACAATGCTTGTGGTTTATTGATACCGTATCGTGGCTGACCAATATAAAGTTTCACTACTGCAAAAATTTCTTTGTTAGATAAAATCTCATTAATGTACCTTGATAGTTTAATATATATACACATATTAAGCTATTAAGACATATTATTGAGATGTTGTCTAACAAGGAAATGTTCGCAGTAGTGAAACTTTATATTAGTCAGCCAGCGTACGCTATCACATTAGTACGTTTAATTATATATATACAATATATAAAATTTTATTAATAATAATAAACATAATTTGTTTGTAAACTTCTTCAGAACATAAAAAAATATAAAAATATAATTACGTGATTAAATGTTCTATTTTACTATAGTCATACATGGTTTCAATTATGGTCATTAAATTTTTATTTCGTTACCTGAACTTATCAACAAATTACATATCAGATGTCAGATTATATTACTTGTTCAATTTTGTTTTGATTATTTATGATTATCAATGCTTGTGGTTCATTGATAGCGTATCGTGGCTGACCAATATAAAGTTTCACTACTGCGAAAATTTTCTTGTTAGGTAAAATCTCATTAATGTACGTTGATAGTTTAATATATATACATATATATACATATATATGCATATATTAAGCTATTAAGGCATATTAATGAGATGTTATCTAACAAGGAAATGTTTGCAGTAGTGCAACTTTATATTAGTCAGCCACCGTACGCTATTACATCAGTACGTTGAATTATATATATACAATATATAAAATTTTATTAATTATAATAAACATAATTTTTTTGTAAACTTCTTCAGAACATAAAAAAATATAAAAATATAATTACGTGATTAAATGTTCTATTTTGGTATGGTCATACATTGTTTCAATTATGGTCATTAAATTTTTATTTCGTTATCTGGATTTATCAACAAATCGCATATCAGATGTCAGATTATATTATGTGGTAAATTTGCATTTGATTATTTATGATTATTCAATTTAATGCTTGTAGTTCATCGATAACGTATCGTGGCTGACCAATATAAGGTTTCACTACTGCAAAAATTTCTTTGTTAGATAAAATCTCATTAATATCTTGATAGCTCAATATGTACATAATTATATTAATAATAGTAATAATAAACAAGATTTTTTTCTTGTAAATTTTTTCAGAACATGAAAAATATAATTGCCCGATTAAGTATTTTTGCTATAATCAAATATGGTCAATAAATTTTTACTTTATTACCTGGACTTATTAATGTTTTATATATCAAATTAGACTATTTTTTCACTTATGTTTTGATTATTCATGATAATTCAACGTACAATGCTTGTGGTTTATTGATAGCGTATCGTGGCTGACCAATATAAGGTTTCACTACTGCGAAAATTTCTTTGTTAGATAAAATCTTATTAATGTACCTTGATAGTTTAATATATATACATATATTAAGTTATTAAGGCATATTAATGAGATGTTGTCTAACAAGGAAATGTTCGCAGTAGTGAAACTTTATATTAGTCAGCCACCGTACGCTATCACATTA